CCAAAGACCTGTCTCGCCGACCTCCGTGTTGCTCGCCTCCGTGTAGTTCACTTCCATGTCGGCCACCTTCTCGCACGCAGCAACTCTGCTCTCCAGACGGCGCCGGGCCGGGACCGATGGAAGCCACTCTAGAACTAAAAAGAGTGTCATAAAGGCCGGGTAGATGACTATCAGGATAAGACATGTCCGGTTCCGCCACCTCCCTGCAGGTTGCGAAATATACACCAGCCAGCCGACCTTCATACCAAATCCGGCAGCAAAAGTCATTCTGGCGGCAGCCCTGATGGCTCGATTCTTTGTGTCGTCGAAGACGCGCAGACAGCGTGGGATGTGTAGCATGTCTTCAGTCCTGCGTCCCCATTGGATGATGAGATCCCGTCGCTTGACGATCTGGCGGTCGATGAAGACGATGATGCAGGCTAGCAGGCAGCGCAATACGACTTGGTAAAGTAGTCTACACAGGAGCTTGACGCAGCTGTAGGACATTGTTGCTGAGTTGAGGATCCGTTGGTCGTTGTGTAATTCTGCCGGCAGTGTTGAAGCGGACATGTGACGTTTACCTGTGATGGCTTGCGTTTGAGAGTGATCAAAAGAGCAGAAAAGGTAGAAAAAGTTAAAATTGACACGACGACACTTTTAATAATGGAATCTTGAGAGCTAAGGATAACGATAACACTACCTGCTAGTACACGCTTAGGTGGGCGTGATGGGGCTCAAAAAGGCGCTTAGACCATTCTTATGCAGCTGCTTGCTAGTAGAATACAGAATACGTCTTATTAGGTACTCTAAATTGCAGAGCAAAAGCTCGGGCGATGCTTACCTACTTAACCATCGCAACTAATGTACAAGTACTTGCAGAATAAAGGGGCCGAGTTCTGCATCCTGACACATCACTCGACTGCCGAGTGATGTATAATACCGTTTTTGCCTTTACCTCAACTCTAAATCGAAGAAAATATTGCTGGTCTGGGGAGGGATTCAAGCAGCACAAGATGATTCTTGGCCGTTGAGCGACAAACCGCTCGGGAACTCCCCTCAAGGCCACCACCGACGTGAAAATTGCAGTGAACGCCACCACTGTGCAGTGCGCAGTGTGCATTGCGAATTATGCGAGATCGTCCTGCAAACTAGTCACACAGGATCCGGATTGGCTGGTTGTCGTCTGTTAGGAAGGCTCAAGCAAAGCCACCGGCTCCAACATTTCCCGATGAAGACCCTCCACCGTGTCGAAAATTGCAGTGTTCCGCCAGCTAAACGACAAGATCATGCAATGCTCCATTCTATGTCATCTCCAGACAAGATATCTCACCCATCCGGAGGTATCCCACTCAAGTCCACCATGGTCTGCGTGACAAACACACAAGGCCTATCGAAACATGCATCCCAATCCGTCCACCCCGACGTCCACATCCGCCCCAGGACTTCTCTCGCTTGCATGGGCGCCGACGTCCCAGTATGCCTCATCAGCTCGGGCAGTTCCCTGTTGACAAAGTCCCGCACCCCGAGATCGTGGGCAGCTTCGACCCCGAGCATCACAAGCGGCCAGAGCATAAAGCGTTTCAGCCTGACGCTGCGCAGAGCCTCGCCGAGGAGAGCGTGTAGGCGTCCAGCCTGCTCTATGCACCGTAGGCGGAGCGAGTCATCATTGGTCGTAGGTAGGACGGACAGGCTCTGCAGTGATCTGACGCAGTAGATGGTCACTGCTGCCTGGTTGACCTGGGCGGCTATTAACCGGTCAGTTTTGGCCGATGATTGGGTCCGGGTCCATGACTCCGGTGAGAATGTGTTGATGCGGTCTAATATCCCCCAAGCTTCTTGACGCAGATCCTCGACATCACCACTGGGGGCCCGGGCTCGCAGGTGATTAACACGGATAATCTCGGCGAAGAGGGGGAAAGGACACATCTGGAAGGGTGTGACTCCTTGTTCGGATAGCCGCAAGATGTAATCAAGATTTTGGACATGCCAGGCCGTTGCGGTCTGGTTCGACGCTGGGCATGTTGTGTTACCAATGACACCGACCCTTACAAGTTAGTTAGATAGGTGTTCGACTAGTAGACACGCAACAACTCACAAGATAACTGATCGCAAAAGGTTGACGAGGCTTGGTGAGTCACCAATGACCGACAGTCCTCCCCGCATCTCGATCAACTTCTGTGCGACTTCGAGGTGGCATCTCCAGCTCGGCGCTCCGTGTTGGTTCTGTAGAGATCAGTTGCTGATTCTTCCTATCAATAGGCAGTTAGGTTATTCTTACGTCGGCGAGGACCAGGTTCACGATACTCCCCAGAACAACGTTGCTCGTCCTTCTTTTGTCGAGGCTGATATCTGCGCGCAGGGATCGCAGGATAACGCCTCGGTACCGATGGAACTTCTCGACGATGGCGCCCGTGTCGGCGACACCCTTCAGCCGACTGACGCGGTGGTGGAGAACCATGCACACCAGATTGAGTCGAAAGTGGTCTGGATATGCTCCAGTATACCGCAGGTGCACAGGCAGAAGCGGGAAGATGTGCGGGTTCGTCCCGAGCTCGTGCACCGGGGCCAGATCCGGGTGGATGCATGTGTTAACTATGCAACGGTCGTCAGCACACAGAAACGGATGTCAACAACCGATGGCACTTGCAGTATTCGACCGCCTCGAACACGGCGCCTGCGTCGGTGGTAAGTTTGAGTCGGGATGGGGACAAGGCGTCACGAATAGCTGCCTTCTCCCACCAGGCCAACGGCATTATTAACTCCCGAGCGTCCGGTTGGCCCGTCTTCCGTTCTGCTTCTCTCTTCCGAACATCGAGGAAAATGTTGCCCCGTTTCCGTTTTTGGGAGAGAACGCGGCCCGGGGCCAGCCAGCGGAGCCGGACCGGTTGATGGGCCTTTCCGTAACCAGGACACTCGACCCCAGATGCAGAACACGTCCGACATGGTGGCTCGGTAGAGTTACTAGAGTCGCAGCCCCGGGATCGACGGGCACATTGGTTGGGTTGTCTCATAATTCCTTAAACAATTCCTCAAACAAATTGGGAAAAGATGATGACGTCCCGGCGATTGTTTTCGGCAGAGGTTTGTTGGACACAGTCGCAAGATTGGAGAGAGGAAACATGGTCCCGGGATAATATCGTGGTCCCAACAGAAACGAAACCGCGCCGCAGAGGATTGGGCGTGACGGCCCCGAGATTATCTTGGCATCCAGTTTCTCCTATTTCAGTCTAGCGTGGTCGCTTCCGATTGGTCAATGGAGTGGCCGCTTTGAACACCCACCAAGGCAGCAGCCCTCGTCCTTCCATTCCAGCTCGAGTACTTATGAACCAGATGTCGATCATGAGATCTAGAAATTCGCGCATTCTCATGTTCTCAATCATTTTCTTTCCAAGTTTTCTTTTTGCCGTCTTTTGAAGCAGTTCATCATGTCGGACGGTCAACCAAGTAAGTCACTGACGATGGTTTCCCAGTGTTAGTTCCCAGACGGCTTACAGCTGGAAACAGTACCCGGGAGTCTTTACATCTATGCCCCGAATAAGGGCGCCCCGATCTTTTTTGTCATATGTTTCGCGATATCCGCCAGCGTTCACTATTGGCAATGTTTGTGAGTTTTTTTTCCGCCCCGTTTCTACATTCGAAAGCAGATCAAACTGACCCGCAGACAGTCGACATCGAGCATTCTCCCTCGTCGGGCTCCATCCGATCTGCGCGACAATTTTCACCATTGGGTACGCATTGAGGGAATACGGGGCATTCAACTTCATATATGAACCCGGCGATGTTTCCGTTCTGGTCGTTTTCATTCTTAGCCAGGTCTTCATTTACGTCTGTCCGTGAGTACTCGTTACCCCTGAATTTTCTCTTTGTCAGACAAAATAACATGATCCACCCCCCCAGCCCCCTCCTCGAACTCGCCAACTACCACGTCCTCGGCCGAATCCTCCACTACGCGCCATCCCTCTCCCCTCTCCCTCCAGACAAAGTCCTCGCCACCTTCGGCGGCCTAATGGTCGTCATCGAAACCGTCAACGCCCTCGGCGTCGCCCTCTCCGCAAATCCGTCTTCCACGCAAACCCAGCAACAAATCGGCAGCAGCCTGATCCTCGTGGCCCTCGCCCTCCAACTCGCCGTGATCCTGTCGTTTGCCATCGTAGCAGGCCTCTTCCACCACCGCTGCGCGCGCTCCAACATCTCATCCCGTCCGGTCTGGAAGAGCCTGCACACGCTGTACGGGAGCATGGCCCTCATTCTTGCGAGGAGCATCTACCGCACCGTCGAGCACGCCGGCTCCACGACGGTTCACCTCAGAGACTATGACAGTTTGACCCAGCTGACGCCGCTGATGCGGCACGAGTACTATTTCTACATCTTCGAGGCCACTTTGATGCTTGCCAACTCGGTGCTGTGGAATGTGCGGAATCCGGCGGGGACGCTGCGGCGGAATGTGCATCTCGCGCAGGATGGGATTACCGAGCTGGATGATGGGATCAAGGTCGATGAGCGGTCGCGGATGGCGAAGGTCGGGAATGTGGTTACGTTTGGGATGTTGTTTCGGAATAAGTCCGAGGTGCAGGATTTCCATGAGCTGCAGAGTTATCCTCGGGCTGCGTAGTCGTATGGACTTTTTTTTTTGTTGTCGGGACAGTAGGTGTTGTACAGTTTAGCATGTTCATAGAGGTCGCTATTCTTTGGCCGTTTCTGATAGATCAAATTTTAATAGACACCGCGTCTTACTTCGAGGTACCATCTAGACATAGCGAATACCTCTCCGCACCCACAGCAGAATGACTGAAAGGAGGTCATAAGCTGGGCCGACACTGGTAAATCGAGATCCACCAATGCGCTGTTGATACGACGCCCCTCAGCTTTCATAAAAAAACAAGGAAAGAAATCCATATCCCAACAGAGTCGCCCTGTCAACAAGGAAGACAAACGACCGCGAAGTGGGGCATGATATGATGTATGGTGCCTTATGTGAAGGCGACCGACCGACTGGTTGGCTGCAAAAAAGAGAAAAACCACGGCTCGTCCCAGATTCGAGCTGGGCCTCTCTCTTCAAACTGCCAAAGTTGGCCCTGCCACCCTTCAGGACCTCCAAGGGCAGTGACCAAGAAGTGCTACCACTACACCAACGAACCGTTACTACTGCAGACTGGGAAACCAGCCCATATAGTTGGCCCAGCCCTTCCCGCAAACAACACGCGTTCGTGACTCCGTGCAGGATTCCCAGGCGCGGTCGCTTTGTTAGGCGCGTCAACGTGGCCCTACGCAAACGCTTCAGTGTTTCCTGAGGCACCTTGACGGGCAGTGGGTCGGCAGTGCTGCTGTGACTGCTGGTTCACGCCAGACTGAGGTCACTGCCTTAAATTTCGTTGTTTACTTGCAGGCAAACGGGTGAAGCTATTCAGAGCCCACCAAAATTAGGGTAGCAGAACTGATAGATCGATGACCTGGCCCACATTTGGCTGGGCAGCTCTTTTACTCCAACACACATAAGATTCCCGTCCGTGAGCTTAGTTTTCCGCACTTCCTAGCCCTACTCGAAGTGACAAATCCTTTATTATCCAAATCACGTAAGGGCGAGCAAAATCCCTTGTTAGCTTTTTATTAAATTTGGAGGTACTCGTAGTGAATGGGAAGGGGATAGCATGAAACTATCTAACGACAGGACAAACTTTCTGACGACAGGATAACCATAAGGTACCCAGTGAAACAACCTGGATCTTTTTAAATGAAGAAGGCCTAGGACAGGGACCGAAACCCCGTTCAGATGCGCAGGCAGATGTCACGTTACGAGCTCAAATATCGCGACCCCTCGAGACAGAAAACAGCTACCCCGCTCTGAGGAGTCTGGACTCAACAAGCATCGACGACCATCCTCGCACCTTCGCAAAACGAGCACGGTGGATATGGATCCTGCGTCCGCGATCGGACTCGCCGCTCAAGCCGGGAATATCATTATTCTGGTCTTAAAATATGGCCGGGAAGTGAAAGACGCGAGCGGCGACATCCAAGCCCTGAGCACCGAGCTGTTTGCGCTCGAGGGAATCCTGCGCCATGTGGAAACCCAGATTGACTCCGTCTCATCCAGCGCACATTCGTCACCGTCTCACACGCCAGCCTTTGCGCAGCTCCTGCAGTCGACCCACCAGACTCTCGACTCGCTCGCAAAATTGCTGTCTCACACCCCCTCTTCCTCCTCAAACCTCGCCATCACAACCCGCAGTCTCAAATGGCCGCTGAGAAAAGGCCAGGTTGCCGAGCAGATCCAAAAACTGGAACGACTAAAGACACTCTACATACTTTCCTTGACAGGCGACACGTTCTCCACTCACCGGGCGCTTGTGGCTGAAATAACACGTTTGGGCCAGGCTGTGGAAACGGCCAACCGAGGACGGGTAGAGGAGAAACAAAGTAAGGCAACTTTGGTGCACTTATCGAGCAAGACTGACAATTAAACAATGAATAGCACAGCCAGAGCGCGATATCTGTACCTGGGTGGCTCCCGTCGACACGGCTAGTACGCACAGGGAGGCCCTCGCTGTCCAGCAACCCGGCACTGGAGCATGGTTTGCCCATGGACCACTTGAATGGCTTGTACAGGTTCCTCCAGAGAGTTCAGCGATCTTGTGGCTGCAAGGGAGATGTACGCATTGTTAACCGTGCCCTTTATTGACATATAAAATGTGTGCGGTTGCTAACTGCAAACTAGCGGGATCTGGCAAGACTACCCTGCTGTAGGTCTTCCCAAAGTCCAGTAGAACACCCCTAACGTCTGCATAGAGCTCGCTCCGTCTGCCAGCTACGAGACATACTGGCAAAAAGAGGTCAAGACGCAGACCGCGTTGCATTCTTCTACTGTTCTTTCGGAAATTTGGCCTCACAGAACAGCGCCAATATTGTAGGCTCGTTGTTGGTCCAACTAAGATGTTGCTATCCGGGCATCATCGATAGGATTGAACCTCTGTACCGGGCTAGCAAGAAGAGGGAGCAAAGTTCAGTTACCATTGACGACCTTGTCGACGTCCTAAGCAGTAGCCTCGGCTCCGGGCTCGCGTATTTCGTCATCGATGCTGTAAACGAAACATCGCAGCCAGCGGCGGTTGCCAATACGTTGTCTTCAATAGCGCGACGCATCCCCGGCGTCCGGTTGCTGATGTCGAGCACACAAGATGCCCCGGACGGACTGAGCTCTGACCTGAGCTTCCTCCAGGTGAAGATGCAAGAGGACACAATCAATGACGATATTGCCGTGTTTGTCGACCATCGCCTGAACAACCACGAGCAATTCCGGTGCCTCTCTGTCTCGGCCAAAACTCAACTCCGCCAGGCAATCCTGGGCCACGCGAAAGGCATGTATGTATTACCTATTTACACAAGTAACTACAGTGCCTTGATGCGGGCCGCTAACAGGTCCAGGTTCCGTTATGCTAGCCTCGTTCTAGACAACCTCGCCAGCCAAAGGACAGGACGGGCAATGAAGGAGGCTCTCGCCGAAATGCCCAGCAGTCTCAACGAATCATATGCACGCATCCTCGGCAGTCAATCCCACAGCGCGCAGGACCGCCAGCTATTACGGCGGGCACTACTCTGGCTATGCTTCGCGACGCGACCGCTGACGCTCGCCGATCTGGCCGATGCCGTGGTCATCGAGGACGGCGACACGGATCTTGATGAGGACGCACGCTTATTCGACCCGCACATCCTCGTCGAGCTGGGCAGGGGCTTAATCGCGCACGACCGGCACACCGAAATCGTCTCACTCAGCCACTCCTCAGTCAAAACCTTCCTCACTTCATCATGGTTACAATCATACACAGGCAACAGGGCAAACGAGTTCTTTCTCGACCAGAAAGCCTCCCACGCCGCCATCCTCAGCACCTGCCTGACGCTACTGCAGTTCACAGCCCTCGCCGATGTCTCGCCGTACTGGCCGTCACAGCTGGAGACGTTGCGTACCCAGTATCCACTTCTCTACTACGCCGACACGGCGTGGACCAACCACATCGGCGATCCCGACCCGGTCGTATGGCGGGACATAATCTCGCCGTTCCTGCGCCGCCGAAGCACCGAGACTGTCTGCCGGGCCGACGAGAACTACGAGTCGTGGATCCGGCGCATATCGTTCAGCCCGCGGCGCAACTTTGAGACCACATCGGCGCTGTACTTCGCCGCCTCGTTCGGACACACGGCTCTGGTGCGGTCCATTCTTGCTTTCGAAGGGACTGTCCATCTTAACACGCCAGGGGGCAGGTACGGCTCGTCGCCGCTGCATGTCGCGTGCTGGCGCGGCCAGCGCGAGGTTGTGCGCCTGCTCCTCGAGGCGGGGGCGGACCCGCGGGTCCCGGATCCCGGTCTGCCGGGCGTCTCTCCCTTGAAGTTGGCGGGGGAGATGGGCTGGAAGGATATTGTCGCCTTGATGGAGAGCTGGGTGGGAAGAAGGCGAGATGTGGATTCGGCTGCCGCGTCGGCCCTGGACCAGGCCCCTGGTTTGGGCCATGAAGAGTTCTTCAGTGACATACAACAAGAAGCACCGGCGAATATATACACCCCAACACAGTGAATCTGTCACATACGACCATACCCACTGGAAAACTCGGGATCCCGTCCGCTCTCCCATAGATAAGCCAGTGAGGGCCAGACTAGTAGTTGGGTCGGTGACGACCAGCGAATCCCTGGTGTTGTATGTCTTTTTTGCCATTTTCCTATCTTATATAAGCGATGACAGCGTGGTTAGACTGCCTGGTGTTTTGCGTCCTGATGGGCGACTTCCCGGAAACCGACGCAACAAAAGAAATCCTTTTCCGATCTAAAATCCCCTCATCAAGTCACCATCACCTGGACTGCCATTCCGATGATGAAGATATGCACAGATGTCAAAACTGACCCGAACAAGCTGACCTTTTGGTTTAATCCGACGGCTGCGCTCTGGTGGCGATAAAACTGACACACACCCCACCGTACCTGTAAGCAAGACCAGGCAGAGGCGGCCTGGTGTATTGGGCCGTGTACTTCCCGATCCCATCGGGCGTACAAACAGGTGTCGCACGGCTAGTCTATCACAACGCGCGTTTACCTTGTTCAGAACTTGTGCATGAGAGAAACGGGACAAAGGCGAAGCCTCGGGTCATCAGCCTTTGATGGACAACCTAGCCACGTGCTAGCCCCGGGGGGTGTGATGCGCGATGTAACTGGTTATCGAGCCGTGGGTACGTATCTCAGCCACGGAGCACCTTTTGTGGACCTGCATGCAGGAGGATTTTCCGGGCCACGTACAGGACGGTCTGTTAGATCAAACTGCTAGGCTGATAGGTCCGAGGTTCGCAACAGGCCGGATTCAGAAAGGCCAATCCGAGTGCCGTATTTCCCTCTCTCTCTCTTCCTGCATGACCTGCGTCCGCCAAATCCCTCTCGCCACTTAAAATGGCGTGCCGCACGCATGTCGAGTCTCAACTCCAACAGCGGATTTTGCAGCCTTTTAAAGTTTGACGTGCAGTCTGCTGACCGGCGTCGTGGCGGTGTCTGGTCACAATCCCATCGGGAGCCAAATATTGCTGCAATCGCAACGTCTCTTCATTGTCTTTTATACCAGTCAAGAGAAAAACCCTTCACCGAGACCGACACTTCGGCCGGATGGAGTAGAGTTGCGACCGCCTGAACAGCTATATAAGAGACCGCCGTTTCTGGCCAAGATGAAACGGCTTCATACACCCCCCCTGCGACATCGCATCACTACACCTCTCTCGCCCGGGCGGTCCGTATTATACTTTGACGGTTTAGGTAGGTAGTGATTTGTTCGCGGGGAATGAAATGTTATCCTCTACTACTATGGAAAGGTGCTGCCCTTGGAAGCTACCATCCTGGCCTCGAAACGACGACCCGAGTGGCGTCAGGGCATCGAGGCGGTCAAGATAACTTGCGGAATAAGTCTTTGCGACATCTGGGCGATAGATGGTGAGTAGCGGGACTCGAGTTGAGCGAAGAAGCCGTGCACGATGTCACGGATTCGTAGGCCTGTTTCCTTCTTATCGCGCCCACAGGAATGGGAAATATCCTGGAATCTCTGTATGTGAAAAACGAAATTCGCACGAATTTTAGGGTTACCCCCCCTGGTGCAGGTTTTGTCCAGTTAGAAACC